CTGGCTCTCTGTGGCTGCGTTCGCGTCTATAGCTTTGGAGCGCGTCGGCGCGCGTCACAGCGCATTACAGCGCATCGTCGCGCGTATACGGCGTCATCGCAAAGTTTGAACGCTGCCTTTAGGCATCAAGGCGTCCTAGGTTGTTGGGAATTGCTTGTGATTCTTAAACAAAAAAAGACAAGCACCGATGTAGCAGTGATGTTGCAATCCCTTTCAAATAGTTCCTACAAAACGCAAAAAATAAACCTTAAAAAGGTCAACTTCTCTACTCGTAGCCCGTGAGACGCACGGGAACATTTCACGACTACGTATGGAAAAGCCGTTCAGCATTTAAGGAAGACAGAGCCAGATTTGAAATTAATAAGCTTTCCAAAACGCGCAAAGGGGTGTACATCTTATCTCGAAAGACCATGACAGGTTGATATCACTTCCTTATGAACCCTTTGGTGAGCTCTCTTCAGGCGCTTCGAAATGGAACTCTGAGTGGTCACATATTAGGCAGCGTTCATAGTTCGCGACAGCAGCGGCCATCGTAGCGATCGCCGCTGCTGTCGCGAATTATGAACGCTGCCTTAAGACAATCTCGCCCTGATGCCATACCATAGAGAAATGCAAGGATCACCAGTCATGAACTCCGCCCTTCATTATTTCTCGATAGTTTCTTGAGGTTAGAAAAACGAGGAACTTACATTGTGATTATAAATATAGCGAATTGAATCTTTGGTAGAGGACAAAAGAGCATTGAAGTAACTACGCCATCTTATTCGCGGATAAATCGTGGTTAATTTATAGGGCGAAATCGAGTTATATAACTGGGCATAGTTCCTTAAAATGTATGTGTGGGGCTAAGAGACTAAAACGAATAGAAATAGATCAAAGAGTAGAAGTTGAAACCAACCTCATCTCGTTATCCGGCCATGACGCCATTGCGATTCTTTGTTCTAATCTCACGACCTGTCTGGCTGCCTGAAATATCATGGAAAAACCAGAAGATGAAAACTGGGCATTTTTAGCTTGTTTTTAATCTTACAACTGCTGTTTACTATTCTTTATGTTACTGCTTTTGTTTACTCGACATTTGAATGCTACAAAACTGCTATACGCTATCTAACCTAGGAACATGAATGGATTCACTGCATGACCAATATCTCCAAGTTTGAGTGGGAGCGTTCTGTGAGCGGCTGCGTTCACGTGCGCAGTTCCGGTCCAGGCAGAGATGCAAACCGCACATGAGTAAGAGGGCATAAACGGCACGAGAAGACGTTGATGCTCCTTGTCTTCCTGTCTCTCCTGAACCGAAAACAGTCCGCAGATAAGCAGCCATCACCGTGCTCACAACTCGCAAGAGACCCACGGACTCCTTTCCTTTGAACACAGATGTAGTTCGGGGTGTAGCTCAGCACATCCGAAGCTCGATGAAGGCGATGAGAGAGGCCTTGTAAACAGTGGCATTCGTAGTGGGACCCATTCGACTGAATGTGGCTGTACTGCAGCGTGTGAAGTCCACTAACTGAGAAATATCTCGCCAATGCGCACGATAAAACTATTTGCAACACCCTTTTCGCCGCCTCCGTCGAGCCTTGGATGTTATGAACTACCCCTGTACTTCCCGGCCCGATTTCTCGGAAGTCGTATGATCGAAATAGGATTATAGTGAGCAGATTTTTGCCAAAGAGGTTTTAATGTGAAATTTTTAAGAACGGTTCAACATTTCGGCCAAGATCGCCCTAACTCAAACCTGGAAGCTTTCACTAGAACGAAGGTTGCTTCACAATTGGGATCGGCAGATAAGCAAGGAGTATTTCCTTTTGACTTCCCTTTGGAGCGATAACGCTAAGTAACTATGTCGCAAGAGCGGCGCGTTGCAACGGAGGGGGTGAAGGCAAGGCTTAACATAGCACTTTAACGATTCCGCACCGACGTGTCGACCCATATAATACCATTTTTCACCTTCAAATCACGCTTTTTAAAACCAAAAATTCACCCCACTTTCACATCGAATTCACCAACACTTATTAGGTGCGGCGCAACTCATTACACAGCAAAAAACACGCAATAACAATTGCGACCCCGCACCCGACGGCCCCACGCCCTAAACTGTCCAGCGCGACCATAGATACTCCCAACTTGTTTCATGAACTTCTGCTTTTGCTTGTTTCCCCAACAAATCACTTTGAACTGGAACAACCAGGCATTGACCCCATGACCGACTCGCCGACTTTTCTAAGGGTATGGCAATCTAGGCTGACCACGCCCACTTGCTTTCGCGGACTCTCGATATTTTTTCAAAATTTTTGCCTTTTCAGGGCTGCTGCGTGAAGCTCGCCCCCGATGAGAGGCTCCGTCCACTTTCAGGAAGCCCCACCCATTTAAAAAAATGGTGGAAATCGGTCCAGTAAACACTTGCCTTGCATCTAGGGTCTCGTTCGCACTCGGAAACAAAAAGTTTCGGCAAAGTTTATTGGCGATGATATCACAATACCACTAGCATCAACCAAGGCTTCTATACTGGCCGAATTTTCCACATTATTAAATGTGGCGGGGCTTCATCAAAGTAACGGAGCCTCTTGCACAGCGGCGGGGCTTCACCCAGTCCTAAAATGCAAAAATATTTGAACAAACATCTAATCGAAAGTCCTGAAAGCATGCGTGGCCAGCCCTAGATGCCAACTCTTTAGGAATGCGGATTCGGCCAATATCCATATGTAATGCCCGTCGTTTCAGTCAAAGTTGTTTGTGGGAAAACAGCACAGGCAGAAGTACGAAAAAGACTGAACATCTATGTTGGGCCCTGAACAAGTAGGCGTGCCCGTCGGGCGGAGCCCCACGTGATGTCTGGCGTGATCCGCTTTGATGAGTTGGCCCGCCACTAAATGGCTGTGTTAAAGGCAGCGTCCGCGATCAACCAAAGTGAAAAAACCCTCCAATGAAAACGAACGCGGAGTACGCAACCACAGCGGAAATCCCACTCTTGCGGCTCGAAATCGATTGGTTGACGAGGGCGGAGTCAACAAGGCTGAGCTGACGCCTCCTTTCCTGTTAATCCCGCCCCGACTGGTTAACAGTTGTCAGTGCTTGCTGGCATTGATAAACGCTAAGTTTCTGGAGTTCCGAGGCCGCGACGTATATTGGAGAACTCACCAAAGGTCTGCGAAACTCGTCCACATGCCTTAATTCGTAAGGGTCTATTTCACTATGTCTCCACATTTTCCTACTTTTTTTATTGATTAGTGGCTTAATATTGCGCCACCTGATTCTAACCAAATTGACCCCCTGAAACTGGCCCAGTCCATCGCGGCGCTGTCTTAATTTGATGTGAAAAGTAAGGGTGAATTTGGTTCGAAAAGGGGTGAATTCGGTTTGAAAAAGGGTGAATTCAAAGTGAAAATGTGATGGTGTAGACCTGACACAGGTTTTGATTTGATGCTTGACGAGCTGCTTCAGCTTCAACAGAATAAGGTCACAGGTTTCACCAGAGTGGGACTTGTAAACCAGAACTAGTGAAGCAAGCGAAAGTGCAAAATGCCCCTCCCCACGTCGGCAAACTGCGCGTGCAGAGCTTTGTGGTATTAGAGCTATTCTGGGTTTCAGTATTCTTGTTTTTATACTGCTCTACAAGCTACTGCTTCTTAGGCGCTCTTCGGCACCCAGTGGTACTCAGCGAAAATCGTGCAGGCCGCTTAGTGAAGACCTGTTAATTGTTGTAGCCAAAGCGGCTCAGTAGTACCATTTCACAGCTTCACCAGGCTTTACAGGTCGCACCAAAGTCAAACCCGTCAGCTAACAGGAACTAACAGAAGCAACAAGCGAATTCCGAAATGCCCCCGCTCAACCGAACAGCGCCTTTGTGACAAACGTGATGCGCGTGACGCAAACAAGATCCCGTAGAGAGTCGTTTCCGTGAGCTTCCAAGTCTTTTGTGACCATACCGAAAGCTTCATCCGCACTTTTTCTATGTTCAGAGCATGAAAAGTAATTGATAAAAGATCAAAAGTCAAGAGAAGTCTATTAATGCCCGTAATACAAAGACATTATGTTAAAGTTAATAAATATTTCTCAACATGTCTTACGTCTTGAATCATCTCGTCATAAGACTCATATGTCTGAACTACGTCCTTAGCGAACGTCCTCATAACCTTCACGACAGCTTTGACGCGGTTTTCCAGTTCAGGTGCAAATTGTGGCAGGACATAATACTCTCGAGGCATCGGCAGTGCAGGCTAAAAGAAGTCCATGAAACGAGTTGTCCTATAAGGAGGGTGGAATATGTTAGGAAAAGGGATAGGAAAATTGGTATCGCCTGTCATGGACAGGGTCCATCGTTGTTGGGGAATCGCCAACAGGGGGGGGGTCGTATCTGGTCGCCGGGAGAGGGGGCTTTCTAGCCTTCTGGGAGAGGTGGTTGACGTGATTTTCCTGTT